GTTTCTCAACTGTCCAGTTAATAAATTAACAACAACACATTTCCTCTAAGTATAACAGCTTCAGCCCCAGGATGGACACCACTTTCCAGTGGTGCTGGCTAGGGCAGGATTTTGCATATGCTATTCTTCTGGAGCTGTATCAGAGAGACCTTCCTGGTTCTGCTAACAAGCAAAACTAAACACAACAAAAACCAGGTCTCTAGGACACAATTGTAGCATCCTCAGTCCCTGGGAAAAGGTAGAATCATATACCTGGTGACCTGCCCAAAACCACCATTCCTGGAAACTATGGGGGACACAGAGCCAAGGCACCAGGACGAGCAAGGGGATGGGTTATAGAGGGCACAGAGACCCTGATACCTTCTCTTTTGAGGTTTAGCATTATCAGAATCTTTCCAGAAGGAATGAGATATCCCTGACCAAGCGCTGTTTCACCTTAAAAAGAAGGAACTTCCACAACAGGAGACAACAGAGATGAATCTGAAGGAATTTATGCTAAGTGAAGTAAGCCAGTCACAGAAGGACAAACACTGCATGATCTCACTTACACGAGGTATCTAAAATCATCCAACCCATGGAAGCAAAGAATATATTACGGGTGCTGAGAGATGGGGGAGGGGAAGCAGGGAGCTGCTAATCAGTGTATACAAAGTTCAGTGATACAAGATAAATGAGCTCTGGAGAAGCTGTACAACATGGTGCCTACAGATGACAACACTGCATCGTGCAGTCAAAGATCTGTTCAGAGGGTAGATGGCATGACAAATGCTCTAACCGTAATAAATTTTTTTAAAAGGAGGAAGGAAGGAAGGGAGGGAGGGAAGGAGGGAAATGCAACATTGCAACATCCACTTGGGAATGTACTGCCAGTGAAGGGGATGTCTTAGTTCGTGGGCTGGCTCTGGCCGGACCGTCTTAGGGCCCCACCCCCCGGGCAACATGCCATGCTTTGGGAAAACAGAGGCTATGGACTGAGTATGAATGAAGTTACCTGGTGCCCAAGGATGCAGCACCTCTGCTGCTTGTGCAGAATGGCCAAGAAGGGCACTGCCACCAAACCAAGCATCCTCTGGGTTGTTCTCAACAGCGACACCATGAGGCAGCACCTAAAGCCACAGGCAGGTGAGCTGGTCCTAGCCTCATGCTCTCTCTTTGCCTGGCATGGGAAGCAGAAAGGGTTTTGGAGTAGAACTCTGTCACTCTTTGATGAGAACAGAAGGGAGCATATTCCAGTGGAAGATGCTAGACCTCTTGGCAATAAAGTAGAGCTGAGGTGTCCTTTTTAATTAGAAAAATAAAGGAGATATGGACATACTTGAGCACCCTGAGCCAGTGCGCAAGTGCTGAGTTTATTTTGGATTATCAGAGTCTGGGGGAAAGGAGGTAAGGCAGAGGTTTAATTTATGCATCTATAACAACTTGCAGCAGGAATAAAGGACTATGCCTCCTTTATGGTCAAACCCAGCCCTGACGTCCTTCCAGGCACTAAGGAAAGCAACCAGAGGGACAATCGGCAAGGGACACGCTGTGCTTCAGGGGAAGAATGTGTGCCTTTTAAATTTCTTCACATCCTCCTCAAAATACCTCTGCGTTTGCTGTTCTGTAGACAAGCTTGGAGGCCCCAACCACCCCAAGAGGAAAGGAACCAGTCAGCTTCTCTAAAAGGGAAAGGAGAAAAGAAAACAAAGTCAAAAGGGAAGGCTAACATTGCATCTCTTCCGCGTGAAGGCACAAGGCAGGAGAGGGACAGGTTTTGCACAGAGGCACTGCTGGACCCTGATGGAGGAACCCGGGTGCGCCGAATGGGAAACGAACAAGTACAGGGGAGTTTTAATGAGCTGAGGCAGCTCTTTGATAGTTGCTGATGCCGAGATGGAAATGGAGCATTTGAGAGTATGAACTTTCAAAGAAAACTGTTTTTAGGAAGCAGTGTTACCTCTTGCTGTCCCTTCCCTTTTGGAATACTCAAATGAGTCCTTAGGTCGTCCTCTCCTCGACGCCTCCCTGTCTCTGGGTGGGTAAGCGTGGGGGCACCTGTCATGTGAAACCCCACAGAAGCCCCAGCGCCAGGGAGTACCAGCTGCTGCTGGGGACCATAGGCACTACAAGGACCTCCCCGGGGTGGATGGAGGAGGCACGGAATAAAGGGATGGGATTAAAGGGAAGATTAATAAAACCTGATGAAAGAAAACACCCCTAGCCTACCCAGCAGCTTAAATTACATCTACCTCAACTGACAGGGAGGAGGTAATCATGAGTAATAAGTCCTGGGCCTGGAAAGAAATTATGGGCTAAATCACTTACCGATGGGTGCACCTGGGGAAGGTGCTGATTCACCTTCCCAGGGAAGTCTCAAGACAGGGTATAAAACCCGTCAATCCCACTGACACAAATTTCACTTGGTAGCGCCCCTGGGTGGTGTAGAATCTGGGTTTCCAAACAGCTTTCTAGTCACGCCCACCTGCACTCCGCCTCGTGGTAGCTGTGGTCACTACATCCCCACCTTGGTGTGAACAGGCACAGTCATCGGGCAGGACTGTCCTGCTGCTCCCCCAGGACACTTCTGCCCCATCAGCTAAGGCCACTCTCTGCCGCTGAGGCTGTCTCAACACAAATAATTCCTGGAGCCTTCCTAGCAGGTCAGTCTGAGCCCCAAGCAGCACCCAAGTCACCCTGTTATCTGCACGTTCCTTCTGCCATCTCCCCCAGAACACCCAACTTCCCAAACTCCCAGGTATTTCTCACTGCAGCTCAGCAAAAAAGCAATCTGACTTAGCTAATTCACACCAACCCTCCAAGGATTCTCTAAAAAGATTTTACTTATTTATTTGAGAGCAGGGGGAGGGGCAGAGGGAGAGGGAGCATCTCCAGCAGACTCCAGGCTGAGTGCAGAGCCTGACACTGGGCTCGATCCAACAACCCTGAGATCATGACCTGGACTGAAATCAAAGAGTGGAACGCTTAACCGACTGAGCCACCCAGATGCCCGAAGGATTCTCTATTTTGAGGTAATGCCAATGAACTGCTCGCGGTCGGCTTTCAGCCTGTACCGGAGCCATCTCAGACCTCCTCTGGGGCTCGTGTGCAAGACCAACCTCATGAGAAGAGAAGGGAGAGGCTCCATCACCTCTCCCACCTCCCGGCCACTGCTCATTGGGCTCACCCACCGCTCCATTCCCCATACAGCTCCCTGTCTTGAGGCCGCCTGCCTTGGACCCATCTGTAAAGAGGACAACATCTACCATAAAGACAGGAAGGAGCTGCATCTGTCTGGCTTTAAGCCAAGAAAGAGCCTAGAAACACAGTCCTGCTCCTAGAAGAGTGATCTCTTCTGCTCAAAGACTAAAGGGGCACCAGCAACCTGAGTTTCAAATCCAGGGGTCTTCACAGGAGAGCTGTTCAGAATCTCTGCTCCCTCCCAACCTGCTCCTATGCTTCTTCCCCGTGTCCTGCTCCTCAGCCACATTCATCTCCAGCAGGCGGTTCTTTTAGTCTCTGGCTGATTGACAGGTTATTGCTGGGTGGAGGACCTGCCTCGTCCTTCCAGCAAGCGGCCCCTGCTTCTAGCCCGTAGCTAAGAAGGTCTCAATAGAACAGAGGTCTAGGAGTGAGAGAGTCCTTGCAGAAACCGCACTGCAGGACACCTGACTCCTCCCAGGACACGACTGCTCATCTATATTCTTTCTCATGTAGCAAGTTACCTGCTGAGAACTTAAAAAAAAAAAAAAAAAATAGAGGGGCATTACCTCCAGAAAAATCTTCAGCATGAGAAGGTTCTACAGATAATGAGGACTTTTAGTTTTCTTTGGTCCCTATTAGAACTAGTTTCAGGAAAGAATGTGATGCCATTCTATCAGAGTAAAACTTAAACTGACCAGAAATGCAGCTCACCAGAACCTTCAAAATTTGACATCCCCCCCCCTTGCTCTCTGTTCTTTAGAAATGGGGAGCTTATAAGCAAACAAGCACATAGTCACACCCTCATCTACTCGTCCACCTGTGAACATTCACTGAGCTCATAGGATTTTGTCAGAGATGGCGTCCGAAGCCTCCCTGGGGGACAAAATACAGGTGTTGTCAAAATGATGCCCCATCTAAACCTCCAGCCCGGGATCCAGCCTGCGTATCTGAAAACAGCATGCTCATTGCCTCAGGCTGCAAAGACTCTGCTTGTCAGAATCTGCTTGCTTCCATCAGCAGCTGAATCCAACCCCAAGTTTTAGAAGGACATACATCAAATTATTGACAGTGACAGTTGGGGGCAAGTGGGTGCAGAGTGAAGGGGGCAGCCACCTAATTCTATATTCCTTAAAAAAAAAAAAACCCACAGAGAATGTGTTCATGGATTCCTTCAAACATTAAAATAAATTTTAAAAAATGGCCTAAAAGGCAAAGGAAGCCACTGAACAACAGGGCCAAGCTTAGCAGGGTTTCTGCTGGAGGCTGAGATCCAGAAGCATGGCTGAGCGGGAGGTGCCCACTTGCCTTAACCACTTGCACGACTGAATAGCCTGGAACAGACCCCAGCATTCTGGAAGTTCTCTTCAGGGCTGAACACAGCTCAGTCTCTCTCGCTGGTCTCTCCCAGACTTCAGACCTTGACAGTCAAGAGTCTCTCTATCTGCAGCACCCTTCTCCCCGGGTTAACCCCCTGAGATCCCTGGCAGCAGCGCAGAGCTTGCTGAGTGGGCACCAGCCTTCACGCTCACCTGGCCTCAGGTGACACTCTGTGCTTACTAAGCACTTTTCACAGCGTCCCCTGGGTTAAAGACGGGAACCTTCCTCTGCACAAGAGCCTGACCAGCTTCGGAAGAGCCCTGGAGGCCGAGGGCATAGGTCAGTTCCTGGCCAGTGGGCTCCACCACCTGCTCTTCCCTCAGCCTCCGCACCCCCACCCGCCCAGTAGAAACACAGAAACCGGGAGCTCGGCCCCTGAAGCAGCCACAAAGCTTCTCCTGGCCAGCTCACTCATCACCGCCCAGCTGCCGGCGCCCGCCTACCTGCAGATGTAATTCGTCTTGCAGGAGTCCTGCAAATTCAGGCAGTTGGGCTTCTCCCTCTCCTCATAGGAACACACGGGCACAATGGTCTGCCGCCTCCGCTCGGTGCACGCGATGTCCCGACAGGAGCAGAAGAGCATCCCGTAGCTGTGCTTGGCCGGAACCTTGTCGAAGAACTGCCGCAGGGCCTTGTGGCACTTGCGCCGGTTGCAGACCTCGCTGGACATGCTGGTGGTGCAAGGGGTGATGTAGGCGGACCTGTACTTCTTGCATGTGTCGTCGAGGTTACAGGCCTTGGCGGCGTCCAGGCAGTTGTTTCCCTTGGGGACGTGCTCCACTGCAGAGGAAAGAAAGGCAGGCGTGACCGCAGGGCGGGGCGCCCGGCTGCTCACGTGCGCGCTGTTCTAACGGGTCCCGCCATCTCCCCGGCGACGCTGGGCGCTCGGATCAATGCTGCGTTTTGAAGCTCACAGATAATGAGTTCCTGACAAGCACAAAGTGTAAGGAGTGCAAAGGCTGGGAGCCCAGGGCAGCCCACAAGCCCCTAGCGCTCCCTTAGATGTATAATTAGGCGGGACCGAGTGAAGCCCAAGGAGCCAAAGGAGCTCAGGCACCTGCCTGACTGGTATACACAAGGCAACAGGAGAACGAGTTTCCAGCTCCTGGTTGGTAAACTGAAATTAGAATAAAAGAAAAAAGCAACAAATTATATACTTGTTCATTATACATTATATAAAATGATATGCTGAATGTGAAATCCTCCAGGAATATAATTATGTAATAAATGCATATAGTACATGCTAATTACTATATGATTACAGAGTAATTACATGGTTATTTGAGCCCAGAAGACAAAATATTATGCCAGCTCTCTAAACAGGAAGAAGCAACTACAACGAGGCTGTGTTTAAGTTCTAGCTCACAGGCCACTGGAAGAAAACCAGAATAAATTACATGAAAATTTGCAAACCTCAATTACCACTTAACTTGCCACATACAAAATGTGGGATCTATGAGTATTGAGGCTGCAAACTAGAAAAATTCAGCTAGGATTCTGGATAGGATTTCAATAGGCTTACAAACCATAGGCCTCATGGATCTCACAAAACATATGTTGCCTTCTACCCGAGCCCTCTGTGCTCGTGCTCAGAGAGAACAGGGCTGTCCACTGCCATGCCGGCCACTGTGTGGCCTGGAGAGAGAGCATAGGGGAGGCAGGGCCCACTGCAGTAGCCAGGCGGACTGGCAGGCAGGACCAGGCCCAATGCCACAAGTTAAAAGATGAGTAGACAAGGGAAATGTAGCTTGACACCATGACACAGGTGTTTTCACAGGGAGGGAAGTGATGGAAAAAACTTCCAGGGCCAGGTTATAAGGTGATCCATGGAAAATTGATCATTAGGTCTAGCAGTGACCCTCTGAAGCCAGCAAAGAAGTAGCAGACAACCCCACTCAATTGTAGGAATTGTCTCCCCCCACCCTTCCATGAATTTCCTGCTCAGGCCTCAGGCCTCTGTTTCACTTCTGGAACCCCCTTTCATTCTCTTTGTGCCCCGGTCGATGGGGGCCATGAAGGCATTTGGGAAATGACAAGAGGCTGGAGAACTGGTAAGAGTGGAGACAGAGTCCAAGTGGGTTGGGTGGGTCTGAAAGACAGGGTAGTGCATTTAGTGTACATCCAAAGGGCACATGGACTATTATTCAACCTTAAACAAAGAAGGAAATCCCGCCATAGGTGTGACAACAGGGAGAACCATGAGGACATTATGCTAAATGAAATAAACCAGTCACAAGAGGACAACTACTGTATGATTCCACTTACAGGAGGTTCCTAAAACACTCAAGCTCAGAGAAACAGAGAGCACAATGCTAATAGCCCGGGGCTGGAGGAGAGGGTCATGGGGAGTTGCTATTCAGGGGGCATCAAGTTTTAGTGATGCAAGATGAGTAAGTTCTAGAAATCTGCTGTCTAACATCATACCCAGCATCAGTGGTGCTGTATTGTACACTTAAAAATCTGCTGAGAGAGTAAATCTCAGGTTAAATGTTCTCACTACAGTTTTTTTTTTTTTCTTAGATATCAATCAGTGAGGGGCACACAAAGCAAGTCTACATTTCAGGGAAAGAAAAAGACTCCCTGTTTTACTGACGGTGAGTCTTGCTTTAAGAAAGCCCGATATGCAAAAGTCTGAAATCACCAAATTATACCCTGGCACCACGAGCAGTACCCTATTAAGCCTCAGGTTCAGGTCTCTGCAATGACATCTGAATCCAACAATTTAATGTGAAAGGCAAGAAACAAGACGTTCAGCGCTTCTTGGGTGAGCAGTACAAGAGGCCCAACGGCTGCACAGAGATCCCTGCTGGTTTAACAAGCACACCTGGTACATTTTCTCCATCATGACCTTCCCAGACCACCTTCTCTCTGGCTCCTCTGTTTTCACACTCAAGCTCCTCCGGACTCAAGAAATGAAATATTAACCATGTGCTCTGACAGGATCACCAGGATCTACAGGCCTTGGTAACACTTCCTGTCTTTTCCTCTTTTGGGACTTTTAACATTGTGCTCTTGGGCCCATCCGCAACAGTGATTTATATTCTCAAAGGTCTAGAGTTCCCCAGGAGATTTCTAAATTACCCATTTTTCATGAGACTCTAAAATAAATTAATATGACCAATGATCAAATTCTGGATCATCTGGATTAGGCCCTGAAGGCTAGATACTGGTACATAATTTTACTGCCTGCATTTACACTTGTCCTGGTATTGAATGGTGCTTTATGAGCTCTAGCTAAAAAGAAAAGAATAGAGGCTCAGAGGTGCCCTTAATACTTAAATGACGTAGCCAGTGATATATGAACAAACAGTTCACAGAAGTTCAAATGGAGGAAAAAGGCAGAAGAATTGAGTCATCACATCACACCCAGTAACACAGGTCTGCTCAATTCAAAACAACTCATGCTGAAACAGGAGTATATTCTAATTGTAAGCACCAATTTAGCTTCAGCAAAATGGTATTACTCCTTGCATTAATGTTATTAACTTGCATTTCATTGTTTACAAAGTTCTGTTCATATTTAATTTGTGTATATTGTTTTTATAGTTGTGTAAAATTACAAAATAAAAGTTTATAGTTCTATGTTCATAAGTGCCAAATAAAATTATAGTAAAAATAATAAAACTCAACACATGAGGTCCAGGAAATATAAATTTCTCTCCTAAAGTAGTTTGTATACCATATAAGTTTAAAAAAAAATTGGTCTGGAGAGACACTCCTTGACACGGGTCTTGCAATGAATTTTTGGATATGATACAAGCAACAACATCAAAAATAAACACACGGGATGACATCAAACTAAAAAGCTTCTGCACAGTAAAGGAAACCATTAATACCATGAAAAGGCAGGCTATGAAATGGGAGAAAATATTTGCAAATCATGTATCTGATAAGGGGTTAATATCCAAAATATATAAATAACTCATACAACTCAGCAGCAAAATAATAATAATAATAATAATAATAGTTCCATTTAAAAAGAGCAAAGAACCTAAATAAACATTTTGCCAAAGATGATACTCCAATGGCAAACATATACCTGAAAAGATGCTCAGCATCACTAATTATTAAGGAAATGGACATCAAAACCACAGTGAGGTATCACTGTACACCTGTTAGAATAGAATGGCTGACGTCAAGACAAGAAATAACAAATGCTGGTGAAGATGTGGAGAAAAGAACCCTGGGCACTGCAGGTAGGATTATAAATTGGCACAACCATTATGAAAGACAGTGTGGAGTTCCTTGAAAAAATTAAAAATAGAACCATCACGTGATCCAGCAACTCTACTTCTAGGCATACATCTGAAGGAAACCAAATCATTATGTCAAAGAGATATCTGAACCCCCATTTTCACTACAACATTATTTATAATAGCCAAGACATTGAAACAACTTAAGTATTTGTCGATAGATGAATGGGTAAAGAAAACGTGGTGTATATACACACAAAGGAATAATATTCAGCTGTAAAAAAGGAAGTCCTGCCACATTAAGTAAAATAAGTCAGACAAAGACAAATACAGTATGATCTCACTTTTATGTGGCATCTAAAAAAAAAAAACAAAAAACAATACACAACAACACCAAAAAAACTAAACTCATAGAAAAAAAAAGATCAGCTTTGTAGTTACCAGAGGCAAGGGAGTGTGAACTGAATGAAGGTAAGTCAAAAGGTACAAACTCTCAGTTGTAAGATAAATACATAATGGGAAATGTCATGTACAACATGATGACTATAGTTAACAATGTTCTCTGTTATATTTGAAAACTGCTAAGAAAGTAAATCCTAAAAGTTCTCATCACACACACAAAGACATTTTTCTTCTTTTTTTGTGTGTGTATCTATATGAGGTAGCAGATGTTAACTAAACTTGTGACCATTATTTTGCAATATATGTAAGCCAAGTCATTATGCCATACATTTCAAACTTATACAGAGCTGTATGTTAATTATATCTTAAGAAAACTAAAAGAAAAAAATTGGTCCAGTGTATTCCTGCTTTATTATAATAATGTCAGCTTCCTTTTTAAAGTTGGTAAAACTATATACACTCTTAAATTTTTCTTCTTAATGTTATAAAAAAGAAAAGCAATATTTCAAAGGAAAATCTCTGTACAAATGGGAAGAGAAAGCATCATTTTATGTCCAAATCAATTGCTTAAATTTTACTTCATTTAGCAAACTCACTTTCAGCTGATTCTGTTTTCATCAATACATAACCCTGCCAGAGCACCATCTCTTTACCATTATTTCAGAGCCTGTGACAAATTCCAGAATGCACAAACCTGGAACATTCAGAGAAGCAAAAAAAAAAAAAAAACCCAGGAATTGATGTCCAGCTCACAGATCAACATGTGACCGGCTTTTTGTTTCTGATTCTCATTCACCACAAAATATTCTCATGACACTTTTCCCAACTTTATATGTGAGGCCAGTCTCACCCAAATAGCAGAACCTGATGAAGACAAAAGAGGAAAATTACAGACTAATATTCCTTACATAGATTCAAAAAGTTCAGTAGATAGCATTTAGCAATATGTCAAAAGGATAATGTACCAAGACCAACTTGGGTTTATCCCAAAATGCAAGGCTGGTTTAATATTTAAAAATTAATGTAATTTACCATGTAAACAAACAGGAAGAAAACCATATGATTATTTAAATGGACAAAGAAAAAGCTTTCAACAAATTTCAGCCCTCCTTCCACAATAGAAAATGCTCAGCAATCTAAGAATAGTAGAAAACTTTCTTAATCTGATAAAGGGCATCTATAAAA